GGGAGATGTGCATGCAATCGCAAATTGCATCGACAATTTGTATCAATCCTGAAATACAAATTGCTAAAGACATGCGAGAATGGTAATTCAAATAAAAAAGATAACTTAATAAATTAAAATTTTAATATTTTTAAATTTATATGCAGGGCTCTTTCAAAAGACAAGATCAAGACTAATAGTGCTCTGTCAAGGCTATTTAAAACTGCAGCAAAAATGAATATTATTGACATTATGCAAGCTTCACAAAATTCATCAAAGGTATGATATTAAAAATCCTAATATAAAATATTAATGAATCAAGAGCTTCAGTTTCAAAACATTCTGATATAAATAGATATTGTTTATTTGATGTTTCAAATACATTTACAATTATTACTTTTACATTAATTTTTAAAAATTTCTTTTAGGACTATATTTTTTAAATTATATTATAATTTCTTATTTTATTTACTAAATATATTTAAACTACATTTATAACTAACAAAATTTTTACAAATCTACAGGCACAATATTGCAGCTTTACTGGAAAAATAAGTAATATCTTAAATAGACATGAGGCTTGGTACTACTCATGCAAAGGCTGCAATAAAAAAGTTGACAAAACTATTTATGACAAATGTCAAAATTGTCAAAAAAACAATGAAGACAGCATACCGAGGTAAAGTACTATCAATTACTCATGAAAGAGAAATATGAAAATTAAATATAAAAATATTATCTGATGCACAATTATAATACAAAATGAAGGTATCTTGTTAAAATAATAGTGGAAGATGAAACAGATTCTGCAAGAGTCACCACTTTTTGACGCAGCAGAAACTTTGATAGGCTGCAATGCTCAAAAATTCATGGATGATATAAAAGAGGTAACTTCTTAATTTATTATATTTTATACATATAAAACAATATGTTTCATATATAAGATCTTAATTTTTTCCTCTTTAAAACATAAAAAAAATCAGAGTTCATTCTTTCAAAAGTTTGTTCTCAACATCGGAAAGACATACAAGTTCCTTGTAAAGTTGGATGAGAACTCAAAGGATGAACGTGCACAAGGAAAGATAATAGCACAAGAAAAACAAATCCAAGAAGACATCACAATCAACGTTGATGATGATGATTCAGTTCTCGATTTACCAAAAAAGAAGATAAAGGTGGAGAAGGATTGATCAAGGGCCCACAAAAATTAAACATAAATGTTTTTTAGTTTTAATTACATTTACAAATTGATTGAAGGATTTCAAATGAACTTTTCATATGCTTTTAAGATTAGGAACTGATGAATTTAATTTGTTAGGACAATTTATGATTTATACGCATATGCTGATATAGTTGTTTGATAACTATTGCATGCTTTGATTGTTATTGCAATTATTAACTTAAATTTAACATTAAATTATGTGAATCTAAATACATATTTAGAGAATAGCTCACTTTATTACTTTAAATTTGCATGTCAACTATTTTTAACTTATCTATACTGCACATGAACTATTGTTGATGAGTCCTTTGCAAGAAATATGATGACCAAGCACAGCGTACTGAACATGTTGAGAGGAAAAAATAACTTTCCATAGAGAAGGTAGCTAATTTTACTAAATTGTTATTCTAATTTATTTCTTTTAGTAGCCTAAATTTATTTTTATCTGTTTTATGACATGGCTAGATTCTCAATGTTCTTAAAAGAATAATCAATGAAGATTGACTACTACTAGATTTCATAAGGAAAGATGATCGTCCAAGGCCATGTAAAATTCAAGAACTTAAGCTTTTTATTTTTCGTAAGAGTTTTGATGATTTATCAATGACTTTCTTTTCGTTTGCAGTATTATTTTGAGGACATGTATGACTTGGTTCAGTCTGGAAGAATGCAGAGGGACAATTATCTTTTCTGAGACATGCTGTGTCTGCACCACCTGATGTATTTAAATTTGCACATTGTTCAAGACACCTGGTAATTTTTGTTTAAATGTCATATAATATGCTTTTTCTGCTACATCTGGCTATTGAGCTTTTATTTGTTAAATCATTTTTGTTAGGCTATTGAGCTTTTTCATTTGAAGATACAAGTTTCTGTGTTTATTTCCTTTAGAAGGTATATGATTGTTATAATCTAGCATGCAATCACACAGGTAAGCATAAATCAGGCTGTTTTTTTTTCTTTTTCCTTTTTTTAATATGCTAAGATTAGGCAAGTTATTTCTTTGTTATTTTCCTGGGAAAGGTTTGTTCACTAGATTAGGCATCAAGCATTTTGTACGAATGAAACACAGTACATCTGGGTCTTGAATGTGTGACTTTCTTATGTAGATGTGTATTTCTGCTCTTATCTAATTGTTGAAGATTGTCTGCAATTATTTTTATCAAAAGACTATTTAAAAAAAATCACATATAAAGTTTAACCATTATGAATGATTAGATGTGTGCTGTATGTAACCATATTTCTTCATCATACATATATCGTTTTTATAGTTGCTAAACATGTTAGGTTTCTTAAAATATGAATTGTTGAATTTGATTTGAAGTTTAAGCTTTAGAAGGATATATGGTTAGTAATATATTTCTTATGTTTGTCTACAGCTAGAATGGACCTTATTAGTAGTTCCTTCTTTTTCGCCCCTAAAAGAAATCCAATTTTATCTATCCAGCAGCTTAGGGTCATGCATGCTTAGTAACATTTTCTTCCTCTTTGTGGGACACGAGGCAATAATAGTTGGGAAAGTTATCAGCCATTTTACAATGCAGATTTGACCTTAGTCTCTATACATTGTTTGCTCACTAAAATCTGTATCTGTCAATTACTAGCTGACGGCTTTAGCTTAGATATTGTGCTGCTATTCTAACCTTATAGCCTTCAGAATTCTTTTCTCTGTGTTTTTGTGATTATTATGTGTTAACATCTCAGAATCTGCTTGACTGAAGGAATTATCTTATTTCTGAAAGATGATAGATAACTATTTACTTCTTGTATTACCCTGAGAATTTGTACAGTTGCATATAATCTTCGATATTGATGAAATGCAATTATCAATGCTTCATGTTGTATATTGCCTGATGTATGTTATTTGAGGGCAATCCCTACAGTTACTCATTTGCTTGGACTTTTGACAAAATTAGGGTCAACTTTGGAAGTTTCTGTTATATTATTTATACTTAATTTTACTTCTTGTTATCTTTGTGAAATCCATACTCTGTTATTATTTATACTTTATTAGAAAACACCTGCATATCTTGTTAAAAGCTACGTATTCAAAACTGGAACTCTTGGGTTTATGCCAAGCTAATAATTATTAACATTTTTCTTTTTTCAATTTCTCTCTTTTTTTTCAACTGCAGGGTAGGAAAGCTCCCAATATGTGATGATGGCTTGGTTTGCTCTAAAGAAATTTTTTTTTCGATTGAAGGTCAATCGAATAGTTTATCTCATGTAGTTTGGGGTAAGGAAAGTTTTTCTTGAACTCCCTCTTTTAAAGGGTAGATAGATTTAGATGAGATGAAGCATTCTACGCCTTATTCCCTGAATCATCTATTGCACATAATATTATTCTCCAAGTTTTATTTTCTAGAACTGTTCGTCTTGTAGTTAATACAGAAGTTGTTTGCTAACTTTCCACATTTTCTTGTCATTTCACATTCACAGA